CGGTCATGGTTGAAGCGGCCGAAACTGCCCAACATGAGCCTACATCGCAATTATTGCATTTTAAAATGTAAAAAAAAAGAAATTATGATATATTAAGTTTAGAAACTCACCACATTTGGTTTGATCACGTACTGTACTTATGAGATGCTTACACTTAGGCCAATATTTTCGCGCATCAAACCTGTGACGAAAAAACTGAAGGACCTAGCAGATTAAAATTTGGTAACAAGCACATTTCAGCAATTACATGCGTTTGTTCGAACGCTAGTAGTAGTTCAACATACTCTTCCGGTAGCTCTTCTTCCTTATCCAGTTTTATCTCAATGCGTTCACTGTCCTTCGGCGGAATCAAAAACTTCATATCCATCAAGTGCTTAATTCGTTCTTCAATTTCTGCCTTCTTTTGGTTAGGCGTGGGCTTATAGCTGAGGTCCAACGTTGCCAAGCAGGCACCGAACAGAACAAAGGTGCGCAGCATTGAGATGAATGTTAAGCTAGAATGAGCGACTACACCTTCAGACGACTGGTGGCAAAAAGCATGAGTGAAATCGAAAAAGAAACCGAGATCGTTATAGAATGTTTAGACCCTATTTTATGGCGAAATAGTAATAATATAGTGGAGCAATAAACTATCAGCAAAATCACCTATTTTTAAGTCTTAACAATGAAATAACTCTCTAACTTTTTCGCATTACTTGCTTTGGGCCGGTGGAGGTCAGTGAAATTGTTTAACAAGCTAATTACAAATATGATACCATTCGCGAAAATCCACCACTTTTCAATTGATTTTTGTGTTTCTCGCTCTAAGTTGCTAGCAATTAATGTTGAAGTGTGTGTTAGTTAGCATGGTGAATAAGAGGATGGCAGCTTCAAAGTTGAGATACATTTCAACGTTTCATAGTGGGAATCCCAAAAGGGTAGCTGTGGTTTTTCAGAAAATTTGATTCAAAACTAAGAAAACTGCCTGTCTAGACTTTAACCCAGTCGGTAGCTGAGAATGCGAGTTAGTATTTCGTATATTTTAATTTTTTTCAACTCGTCAGAATTCTCATCTAATCACAGGCAACAACAATTATGCAAAATAAAATCTGCCCATACAAAACGCTTTTGTAAGCAAACATAGGTACCAAGAGAGAAACTGTGTAAAATGTGATTTTCTTATGTGAGTTAGATAGGAGTACATTGACAAAAGCTCAATGATTCTATACAGTTCGTGTTATCTAAAAACTGCAATGATTGATTTGCATAAGAAAGTTTGGGAATATAATATCGTTTCATGAACAATTTTTTGATGGAATACGCTGCATTATCCATCAACATAGCTCAATTACAATATGTGAAAGAAACAGAGCAAGGTAGACTTAGAAAATGAATTTCCCCAGTTGAATCGAGCAACCTAAACGTGGTGCAGCAATTCGCAACGATCAGAAAGCAGCCTAGATAGTTCCATTCTAGGTGGAGTAGATATTCAACACTATAAAATATGCAAATGTGAGGCTATACGAGTGCATAAGGATGAACGGAATGCTTTACGGTAGAGATTGTTCAATCGTGAGTGGAGGAATATTCTGAACGGAGTCTTAGCGTCTACAGTGTATATTCGGTATGCATAATACTACTTCTTAATGTAAAGAAAACGTAGGTACGAGCAGTACATGGTGGATTTTTTGACAATGAATGAGTGCCTTATCAAAACGCCCAGTGCAGTGTCCAAAGTTTTTAGCCAGCCTTTTTTTCTGGAAAGTGCTGTAAGTGCACCGAATAATTGAAAAAGATAACGAACGAAAAGGACGTTTTGGAGTGACATCGGACTGTAATACTTTCGCTTCGGTTCTGTAGGATAAGCGTCCGAAACAGTAGATTACGGTTGACGGCTGACAGCTAGAAGTGATTACAAGCCGTCTTCGCAAAGAAAGATTGTGAAATGGTTTTTTTT